CAGACTGAGGCATTCGGGACACGAGCCGATCGGAGTCGGTACTTCAAAGAAAAATTTGGTTACGTATGGACGGCATTCGTGTACGTTCCACGTACCTTGCCTATCTCGCTGGATCATCGTTCACTGCGTTCGCTGTGGATCACTGTCTCGTTCGTTGCCTCGGCAGACTTCGTTCGTGAAGAAAAATTTTACAAACGAGACAAAACGAGGCATTTGTTCGGACTCGCCTTGCCTCGTTCGCATTCGTGCTCAGATGAATACCCGGCTTTAGGCGCGTATGTCGTACGCCGAATTATTGGAACGCCGCTCGCCGGACCGGAGGAGCGCGCATAATCTGGGATTTGCATCATTCGACGTGGACAACGTGACCGTCTCTGTTGTGCGTTATTTATTAAAGGTGAGACCGACTATACTTTACCCGCGTGTGTGTGTCATTATTTGCCAACGTGGCGAGCTTTATAAATATCTTTCATAGCTTCATAATGCCCGCCTTCGTAAGCTATTTTCGTTTGCTCGAGAGAGAGCTTTTGTTGTTCCTTTTTCTTTTCGGTTTCGATTCACGGATCGAGCGAATTCCTCGAGGACCACGTGTGCCGTTGGAGAAAGATGCTGACATAATCGCGTGCAACGCTCAAGCGAGCCGGCGTAATGACTAGTCATTAAGAAGTGTTAACACCTATCAATTTTCTCATTCTGCGTTAGTCATCGCGAGAGAATCTCGTCGCAACTCAAGACGCACAAATATATCTCAACGACTTTTTAATATGTCGTTCAGCTGGCGATTCTGATTTTTCTTAAAAATTGCTAATTAATATAAATTCGTAAAAAACTTACTACGTTAAGTCCAGATATCTCCGTAGATATTCGATTACAATAAATGATACATGCAAAGCTAAGATTGCTATTATGCAAATAATATATAAAAATATAATATAATAATGAAATCAGTAGCAATATTTTTTATAAACATATCAGAAACAATGATAGACGATTTTCGTGAAGTAAACAGTTGTCCAGAATTTTACGTTCCCGATAGCATATTTAAGAATCATTAAAGTCGATCCGTATGCATAGAATTTCTGACTCTCCTCTAAAGAGGATTGACGCGTGTAGACGTTAATTACGTCCGGCACGTGTTCGCCACCCACGTGGCGTTTGATAAGATCGCAGGCGGGCCTCGGGGACCGCGATAACGACTCCTGAAATCTGTCGCGGCATATGTGACCCAATTTACGCTCGATATACCTATCGTTCTTCCATGCGAGGCGCGCGGATTGTTTTTGTGGAGATTTATTAGGTCGCGAGTATTGTTAGGCATGCGGCAAACGGGTTGTTATTCGTGGCTCGGAAATAGTCGGGCAGGATTTCGGAATTACGAAATCTGGACAAATCCACGGAACGAATCTTGATATCCGTTCATTGGAACAATACGTCACGGTCGCCGGATAATTTGCGAATAGAACGAAAGTTGCGCCGCGAATTCTTGGCAATCTGTTTAAATAACACTACCGATTCTATATAAAGCGTTGCAAAAATTTGCGATTCGCATCAATGCGAATCGACGCTTCGTCAGATAAAAAATTAATATAAAACTTCTAACAGAAGCAAAGGGTAGTCAATTATTTCAAATAATTTGATGTAATTATTCTTATTAAATTATCTTGTCTATTATATACGTGGGAAAACTGTTTGCAAGAATACTAGAATTTTCTTTTCGTATTGAAGAGATTAGAGAGCCACCGTTGAAGCGTACGCGAGAACAGACGATTATCTCGCAATCGAACTCGCGTAATGTCGTTAGCGAATAAAGCTCTATGATTTCATTACAAAGCGCTGGGATACGGCGATCAAAAGACAATGCGCTCGTCGGTGGATGGCCGCCGCGATACTTGCAAGGCTTGAGCGTCTGTCGCATCGGAATAAAAAGTAATTACCGGTATGCTCCTTTCCTTTGAGATTCGCTCGAAAGAGAAGCGGGAGTGATTTTATTTGAAAAAGAGGCAAAAAGAATCGAATGAAAGAAGCCTGGCAATTTATAATTCAGATTTACAAAGAAATCGAACTCAACGGACTGCAAACTTTATTTTACAAAAAATAAATGTACTAATATTAAAAGTGAGGACGAACGGCTGTTTGAAATAACATAATTTCGCATAAAAATCTATCGCCTGTTAATCACGAACTGCGACAATTATTCGGGGAACGAGCGTCGAAGATTTCCGCGACGCATGTAAATTTCACCGGTGCAGAAATATCGTCCCGGGGAGGGCGGTGGTAGTCGACGCAATTAGACTGGAAAAATATTAGCTCGGTAACGGGAGAGCGTGTAACGCGATGCCTTTTAAATTCGGTAATTGTCTGCCGGGGAGAAAGTGGTTGCGCCCGACGTAATTGATCGTCAACCACTGCGAGACCCTGTCGTCAGCTTCTAAAATAATCCAAGCACCGTACCCATCGCCTACTTTTACTCCTATCCCCCCCCCCCCCGCGCCCATCTAACCCCTTTTTCCGCCGAGAAATAAGATTCGATTAAAAGCATAATCCCTTCCTTCAACATATATAGGTCAGCCGTTTTCTCAATCTCGTGTTTCACGCCGCGGTGCCTGGGCCAAAGTCCTACTTCCATCCGTACGCTCGGATCATTCTTCATAGCTACGTGTCCGCTAAAACAGAATTATCTCCCTCGCCAGCAGAAACCATTTCAAGAAAACTAAAGTACGATTCAGTGTACATAATACGAGTTGTTCGACGGGAGCTTGGAAAGTTTCGTCAACAACCGGAAACAGTTGCCACCGACATCATTTGGAAGTTCCCCCTGTCCAGTCCTCGAACTCTTCCCGAGCAAGTCTTAATCGCGAACACTGTTCAAGCGTTTTATTTGCTCTCTCACGTACTCGCGGTTGAAACGTATTTAGAGAAAATTATAAAAGCACAAGAAGATATGACTTGTTTAATGATTTTATCAAATCGCGTTGCGCACGGATTCATCATTAAATTAATTAAATCCGTTAAAATGTATTTCCATCTGGTTTTATAATAAAATCAATTACTATTACACAATTACGAATGAATCATTCGTATATGTTTTTAACGATAATTATAGCATTGGTAATGTAATTAAAAATTACGACCGATCACGAGGAACATGTGTAGACGTGGCAAACAAATGCAAATACCAGACAGAAGGTTCGCCGAGTTCCAGGCCATCTCGGCAGATGTGCCAGTTGCGGCGAGCGTAATTTCCATACTGACTGGCACACACGCGGCTCGATCAGCGGCCGAGAAACAGAAGTCAACGTATAACTTAACCCTGAACCGTGGAGCCTTGACGTTTCTATCGCGCGAGTCTTTGAAGAGAAACAGAATGATTTCGGATCATCGGTTAAAAATCGTTAATCGTCGAGGCAGCTTGGAGCCTCTCCAAATTACGATATTCTCGTCACGACAATGAGTTATATTCGGTGGTTGATAGTTCGCGTTCGTACGCGTGACCGCGGCTAATCTATTTTTGCTCCATTTCATTTTACGTGTCGATACGATGCGTGCGTTACGAGCCCGAGACACCCTTTAGTCATCGATAAATATTTTATTCGACGATTTCAACACCGTCGGGCACAAAAAGTTTCACTCCCAAGAGGAGGGGAACGCGAAGCCGTATAGGAAAAAAAAATAGGAGGTTGAACAAAGAGACCCGGGGATGGGGAAAGAAAAACACGCGGAGGGCGCCACGCAATAAAGGTCGATGACCCGACGTGCCACCTGTACGTCCTGAACTAGTTCCTCTTTTTCGGATGGCAATGTGGGTCAGCACGCTTCCTCGGCGAAAAAGGGTACGAGCCTCTGTCGACGAACAATGCATCGACGCGTGCCTCCGCCGCATAATGGGAAACCGAAATAAGCCCTGAGCAACGACCATTGTGCGTGCACGTAGCAGAAAACTATAAAGGGGAAGCAGCAAAGTTATCCGGCAATAGCTGAAACCGGAGGACTGCTATTATAGTAACACCGAAAGAAGTGCTCACGACGATAAATGTATATGTTCCTTAGGAGAAACGTCGATCGTCTGCGAGCGTAAAGAAAATATGTTGATCGAATTCTGAATCGTATGAGAAGTGCATTGGCACGGACGGTTGCTACCCTGTCTGCGTATTTCTATCGAGTACGCATTAGCGCGCGTACACACACGCGAACCGGTCAGCTGTTCGACGACGTCCAGACGTGAAATTCTCGAGAGCGGCGTACCGCGTCCTCGAGACGATTCCGTTCCTCGACCTCGTGGAAACGAGGCTAACCGCGCGAGCCGGGCAAGCTCTGCGGACAAGAAGATGGCGGGGGAGGCGGGGTTGAAACGCGAATTGGGTTAGGCGGAATCGCGAGGGATGATACCGGATCGGCGCTCGTCCGGTTACAGGGTTTATTACAGGGAGAGATTCGGGGGATCGGCGGTGAAATTTCTGGCGAAATTTAGCACCGAGAAAATGTAGACGACAGGGGTGGGAAAAGCGTGGCAGCGAAGGGTCAATGAGAATGCTGGCAGGTCGATAGCAATGGCGCCGCGAAGCCACGAAGAAAATCAATCCCGTACGGCACGCGACGTGTTTTGACGTGCCTGGCCGTGTTTCTCGCTCTCGCATTTTCCGAACGGGTTCTCGTTCGCGAGATCGTGGAGGAGCGATATCGCACGGTAGCGAGTACGCGATAGGGAGGTGTGTAAAAGAAACGCGAGACGAGAAATATGAGAACACACTGCTGACGTACCGACCGAGGTGGCCGGAAAAGACGAGGCCGCAGGGCCACGCACACATACACCTACGCGAGTTAATATCGCGGTACACTGTGTCGCGTACATATGTATCGCATGCATGCATACTCGAGTCAATCGCGGTGGTTATCGTAAACATCGTGCGCAGCAATAATACCACTCGCCGCACCAGCTGCGTCTGGCAGGCACAAAATGCCGAAAGAAACAATAAAGAAGATCGTGTTTATATGTCACTTACTTTGGATCACTCGTTCCGTCGTCGAGAGCTTCTCCGAGTCGTTCGAGGTCATGCTGTATCAGGATGGTTGACGGTTGGGCGCCGGCCTCTCGCTCTCTTTCTCCTCCTCGATCTCTCTCCTCCCTGCGTTTCACTCTTCCTGTTTCACCACCCGGTCGCGCACAGGAGTCGTCTCTCTTTCTATCACTGTGTCACTCTGTCACCGTTTGTCCCTTACGTCTACTTTTCTCCCTGTTTTCTCAAACGGTTCCCGTAGTCACTCGCGCGGCAGGCAGGCACCTTCTTCTCTCGAATCGGGGGGTTGGGTGGAAGGAGAGGGCGGTATTTTCACCTCGAGAGCCCGGCGCGGCACACACACATACATACGCACGGAACAGGGGAGGGAGGAGACGGGGGTCGGAGAGGTGACGGAAGTTATCGCACGATGCGGTACATCGGTGGCTCCGTAGCGTTGTTCATTGGGCGTTTGCGGAGTGAGAAATTATTCTGCCGTGTCCCTCTCGCTCTCCCCTGGTGTATGTACCGCGGTATTTACTACGTTCTCGCCTCTGTGTCCGTCCGTCCGTCCGTCCTCTTCTTACTTCTCTCGCTTCCTCGGCTCGCTCGCTGTTTCACCGCTTTCTATCTGTCTCCCTCTCTCTCTTTCTCTGTCTCTCTCTTTATCTCTCTCTCTCCCTCACTGCCGAGGAAAAGGTACCACCAACGCCTTTTGCGGGGCGAGTAACAGGATCGCTGGACCACGCGAGCTGCACGGCCCGCACGACGGGGTCTCGCAACCGCGGTACCAGCGCACGAACAACACGATCGACCTCTCCGGTGACACGGCGGACGTCCGAGCCAACGACTACTACAACGGGCACGATACCTAGGTGCAACGACGGCGATCGCGATACGTGAACACACGGGAAGTATACAATGGGTACTGGTACTACTACTACTACAACAACGTCGACGACGACGGCGCGGCAGCGACGACGACGACGACGAAGGCGGCGATGACCACGACGACGGCGACGGCGACGGCGACGACACCGTTATGACGACGAGCACCGCGATCGCGACCGCGACACGAAACCGTGACACCGACACCCACGGTCGAAAAAACACCACACGCCGCTAAACTTTATCTACTACAAGATGTCTGTCTGTCTGGCTCTCCGCGGCGCGCACACTGACGGCTCCGACGGCTAGGAGGACAGTCGCGCAGTCCTCCACGCGCAGCGATCATTCGAGGCATCTTATTGGCCACTCCGCCACCAGCTGCCGCCACCCGCTGGCCACCTGAAGGCGCCATGGGACGATCGCACGTCTTCGACTTCCTTCCACCGATTACAGTTAATAAAACTTTAATAAAATCTCGCGCCTCGATCGATCCCTTTTAATTGTTTACTGCCAGTCCTTCGACGTTAAATTGGGCCATTCGGTCATTTTCAAATGTCTTACTACTCTCCAATTGCATTTTCATTTTCTGTTTAAGCAGATCAATTATACTTCGTTATATTGCTTTCAATGAATGCAACGATCTTTATTTATACAGTACAAAATTTCAATCAAAGGCTATTAAAAGTCTAACTTTGGTCTTTTCTCCAGCCAAGCCTTGATATTAGGAATTGCCAAAATCTTCTCCTTCAGGCACTTCAAATGCGGATGGTCCTTCGTGATCTCCGCTTCGTACGCCGTCGTCAACGAATCCGAAATAGCAGCGAAAAACAGATCGGCGTAACTCAGCTAAGAAATATAAATGAAATATAATAAATATATTTTTGATGTAATTCAAATTGAAATACGTACTTGACCACCGTGCAAATATCCGTCGTTGTTCTTCACGCGTTCTTCGAATTTGTTCAAGTAGAATGGTATCACGTTCTCCATTACGTCAATCTTTTTCTTGGCTTTCAAAATCGGATCCTGCTCTCTAAAATAATTCGATACCGTCACTGAAACAGAAGAAATGACTCGTCAATCATACAGCATACATCGAATTATCGCTAGATTGCGGATTTTTATTTGCGCTAAAATATTTATAGTATTAATTGAAAAAATGTTTTCATTATTTAATCAGCGTAGTATGCATTCTGCTTTCGATATTCCGTGTGTATTTATATTTTTATTACATCACGTGCGATGTTTGTACTTCCGCTGTATTCAGTTTCCGCGTAAATGAATAAAATCCGTAGTTTGGCCTAGTCTTATTTATCGCCTATCGAGTTACATAGAAGAAATCAATATTTACAGCGCCGGAAATCGTGAAGAGCCATCGCGATCTCGTCGATCTGCAGCGTGTCCAAATCGGTTTTACCCAGCAGATTAAACTGTTTGGCCAGGTATCGGCAAATAGGCAACGTTTGCGAGTAAACTTTGCCGTCGATTTCCAATACGGGCAACTGACCGAATGGGAGCGCTGAAAAAAAAACATTATTTATATTCGACTCATAAAAATTACGATCGATGTAATACGAAAAAAGAAGAAATGTGAATTGCCGGTACTTGGCTTCATTTTGATCCACTCGTCAGAGGAATGTTCAACGCGAACATCTTTGAATTCGGCTCCACCGTAGCTGAGGAGAAACCTGATGGGCTCGCCCAGTCCCATCACATTGAAATACACTAATTTATAACTCGGCATTGTTGTTGAATTAATATGACTACGATCCGATGATGAAGACTCACTGACAGTAGACTGCTTGGTAATTCACTGTAGACTAACAAGTGATTTCCAGTGTTATATAAGATATATACGTTCCCCTCTCTTTGTCCGGTCGAGATTGCCAGCGAGACAGCATTCTGATTGGTCTGGACTGGCGTACTTTCACTTCTGTACATAACATTGCTGAACCGAGTATCGGGAACAAAATCGTTCCATCATGATTATAAGAAACAATTTCGAACGCTCCGTCGTAAAATTTTTTCTATGTAACATTTTTTACCAAATAAATGCTTTATATTTACAAACTGAAGTGTGCAGTTCTTTCTTGACATATTTAACCAATACTCGTAATTATAAATCGTATTTAATCGAAACGGTTGCACATTTTTAATTAACAGATTTAAAAGATTTTCGTCTGGCCAAAGCTTCCAAGAAACTTGTTTCTAAGCTCAGTGGTCTGACTCGATAACAAATCGCTGGAACAAGGAACCGTTGTTTCGGAAGTAAAATGACCGTTTGTCGGTTTATCTTAATTGCAATAATCTTAACGAAGGACTCGCGCGCGACCTACGACGACGTTTCCGAGAATAAAACAACTACGCGCAACAGTAAGTCCATAGTACCCGAGAAACGACTCCCTCCTGACGTGATTCCCAAAAAGTACGTGATCGTGATTTGCCCCGATCTCAAAGAGGAACTGTTCCATGGCAGCGTTCGCATCGATTTAGAATTGTTACAAGTAAAAGATAAAATTATTCCATTATAATCAGATCGCTAATTGAATAAAATTTTAATCAAAGGACAGAAGCTTTATACCTCTGCACACGAAAGACCTGGACGTATCATCGGTGAAATTGTACGCGAGAAAATCGGGAACAGAAGTTAATTTGCACTCTGTGTTTTACGTGAGCAGGCGTGAAATGTTGGTGGTTGAACCCGATAGGAATCTCACGATAGGGGAATACTTTTTGAAACTGAATTTTACTGGTAGTTTAAGAGGAAAGATAAGCGGATTCTATCTGAGCACTTACACGGATAATAATAGATCTACCAGGTAATTATGCAAATCTCTCAGCGGTTTTCGTAGATTTCAGTAACGATGATTATTAATCTGATTTGTAAAATGAAACGTTTATAGCAGATTAAACAATAAAGTCTACATAGTTTTCTTATTATTTGAGCACTGCGTTTGATATTTTATTTTACGCAGTCTGTTATTTTTTATATATCCAATTGTTTTATAAGTAGATAAAATCCTCAGTCTAACGATAATTATCGTAAACAGGAAACTAGCAGTAACGCAGTTCGAGCCGTTATACGCCAGAACCGCGTTTCCTTGCTTCGACGAGCCAGGCTTTAAATCGATTTTCATTGTCCGCATTGTCTACGCGAAAAAATTTCTCTATCATGCTCAATCCAACATGCCAGTCGCAGTAAGTCAATATATTTCTATTAACACCGTATAACGACAACTCCAATTAACACGACGTAAATAAATTAATAACATTTTATGTGCATATAAATAAATCGGATTTGTCATTATACATCTTAATTATATAATAATTATATAAACATAAATAAATCGGATTTGTCATTATACATCTTAATTATATAATAATTATATAAACATAAATAAATCGGATTTGTCATTATACATCTTAATTAGAATGTAATTAGAATTAAATCAGACAGGAATTATTGAAAGAAATACAGAAATGATTCCATCGTAGAAAGTAGAGACTATGAAAGATGACAGTAGCAAAACTATAGCGTACTTTGACCCCTCGCCACCGATGTCCACGTATCTCGTTGCCTTCCTCGTCAGCGACTTTGAGTGCTTAGGCTCCGAAGTGAAACTGCTGAACAAAAGCAAAATTCCCATCACTGTCTGCGTGAGGCCGATGTACAAACACAAAGTGGCGTTCGCTCTGAATTTTACGGTGAAAGCAATGAAGTTTTATTTGAAGACCTTTCAGATCGATTATCCTCTACCGAAATTAGGTAATCCAATATTCCATTCATAAGCAACTATTGACATTTTTAGTCTGGTTGTTTACTCAGATTTCTTTTAAAATGAAACATTTAGGAAAAGTAATCTAGATATCCATTTATTATATCGTTTATGAATGCATTTTTTATATTTTCTGTAGATGTTTTTCTATAAATCTACAGTCTACTCGTAAAATTCATGAATCATTGAGATTTAACAAAAGGATAATGTTTAATGGATCAGATCTGGTTGCTATACCTGATTTCACGGCTGGCGCTATGGAGAACTGGGGCCTAATCACGTTTCGCGAGACCGAGCTTCTCTACAGCGAGGGGGACAGTTCTTGCTTGAACATGAGGAGCGTCAGCTTGACGGTGGCCCACGAACTGGCGCACATGTGGTTCGGCAATCTGGTCACCATGAAGTGGTGGAACGATCTCTGGCTAAACGAAGGGTTCGCTACCTACATGGAGCATATGGCTGTAGACTCCTTGTTCTCCCACTGGAATCTGGTCTATTATTTAATAATTAGACTGCAGATTTTTGTGCACAATATATTATGCTTTAAAATTCAGGAAGATATTCTTCATACCCTCCAAACTACATTTGATGTGCTCTTTTAAGTTTACGATTTCTGCATAATTTAATCAATTATATCAAATACATAAAACTATGAGTAATAGTAATTTTTCTCTAACATTTTGTTCTTGTATTCTTTTAATTTCCAGATGGATTCGTTTCCTTTGTACACGAAATACATTGCAATGAAACACGACGTGAAGCTTCGCGCACGTCCAGTCGTGAAGCGAATCGAGAATCCTGAAGAGATAGAAGAGATGTTCGACCGGATTTCTTATCAGAAGGTACTTACACCTTCAAAGAAACTCGATTAATTTATCAATTTAGTCTAATGCTAGGCAGCGGCGGTGATCAGGATGCTCGAGGACGCGGTTGACAATACGAACTTCATTTCTGCAGTAAGAAACTACTTGCAGAGTTACCAGTTTCGCAACGCGGAGTCTCGCGAGCTGTTCGAGATTCTGGGTAACAGTACACAAAGTGCGATCGATATGGTAGACTTCGTCGACCGATGGATGAGATTCCCTGGATTTCCAGTGATCAACGTCGTCTATGATAAAACCGGATATCGACTGTCCCAGAAACGATTCGCTACTAGCGAGCGATTCATCGAGACGATCGAGTAAGGAATCTAAAACATCGAGTATTTAATTTTGATGAAATATTCTTATCTAGTGATGGAAGCTGGACGATTCCTATAAGATACGTAACCAGCAGGATGGAGGGTGTCAAGCTGGACTGGTTCCTCGCTAATTTCTCTTGCGGTAATTAGTAGCTAGATAAAAAAATGAAATCCTAGATTGAGATTC